ATAGCTTCATTTACTCTCTTTTGGCTACAATTATTATTGTTACATTTGAGTTCACTCACAATAATAAAAGGAAAAGATGACGAAAGGGACGACCTCGATGGGGCAGCGCCATGGGCGGACTCACATTCTCTGCCGCCGTTGTGGCCGCAACGCCTACCACGTGCAGTGGGAGCGGTGCGCGGCCTGCGCTTACCCCCGGCCCAGCCGAAGACGCTATAATTGGTCGGTGAAGGCGATCAAACGACGACGAACGGGGACCGGGAGGTGCCGTTATCTCAAGGTTGTTAATCGCCGCATCGCGAATCACTTTAAAACCCCGAAAGCGTGAAGAAAGATGCACACCAAAAAGGAGCTAGAAGAAAAAGGAGTGGGGTAGGAATTGCTCATTTAGGTAAACCTCAGATTTACTACTCTTCCTTTTTTTTTTTGTTATCCTTCATATGGGGTGTATTGCGTGTGCACGCCTGTGAATGAAGCTGTGTTTATTATATTTTTCTCATTTATTAAAAAAAATTTGCAGATGCTTTATTAACCTATCAATCAATGTTGAAATGCTATAGTGGTACAATATTTTAATAAAAATCATCTTTCTTTTCTGTAAAGTCAAAGGATTAGGTTAAATTACCAAGTGATATACAAACGCGAAAAAAAACTGCAATAGTAACATTTAAAGAGCTATACTTATTAGCTGAAAGCAGACGGGGATCTAATTTTATATTGCACACACACATACACACAAAAAAGTAAATCATGGGGCTTGACAGACAATCCACTGAAGCCTCGTATCTTGATTTGATTTGCACGAGTGTGGGGTGTGGCGTGGAATGCGGAAAGGGTATTCTTTGCAACCTATCGAATAAAGTCACAAATGGCGTTCGGGGTGTGGTGGATACGATCTACGGCTCCAAGAACGACTCCCCAAGGTTCCTAGCCGCTAATGCGCCATCTAACGGAAGCTTTATTGCAAGCTTAACATCGAGAGAGTTGAAAGAGGTGCCGCATGGCGCTTCCAACAGAGTTAAGCTAGGATTGTTTAATGGACCCAGTAACAATTTCAAATTAAATCCATTCAAAAACTCAAGTCCGGATAATAAAAAATTCAAGGAATCTGCTATTCTGGGTGCAAAAATCGCGGCTGCGGTGCTGGTGGTTGCCGGCGCTGCTCAGTTCGCCTACAGCCTTCACCAGAATAATAAGAAGAAGAATATCAACAAGGCTAGAAAAGTAAAATAACAATTGTAAATATCATTGCTTGCTAAGAAATAGTGTGTTCAAGGTAAGCGAAGTTTTTATATATAATTTATGTATATATATTTTGTTAAATTTTTAAATAAAGAAAAAAACAAGCCCTATATATAATTTAGGTATTGTTTTAATTATGCAAAGCGAACCATTTTATCCTTTGGTATTATATATTGACTCCTTCCTCCAGGTAATTATGAATACTATAACTCCATTATCAGTAACAATGCTTCTAGAAATCCTTTTATCCTATCAAACACAGCGCTTGTGGTTTGCTACTGTTTGATTTCTTGACTATACAAAGTAGGAACTGTAGTAACGAATGTTTGTTATGTGATTTCCACATGCAACATCAAACTTGTATATGAATATTCTAATTATATATATGTAACACATGAACAATTATTTGGCTTATTGTTTTTTTTCTTTATTTATTAATTTGAAAGTCGAGAACCCCCCCCAAAAAAGGAATGGTAAATTGAAAGTCGATATACAGACTTTTATCTTTTCAAAATGAATATTTAAAGTTCCTGAGTGCGTTCATTTTGCGACATTTTTCTCCGTCTTTTCCCTTTTTTTTCTTTTTGAAGTATATTATCGTTTTATTTTTTCCCATTTCAAAGTCCCATCCAGCGCTTTGAGATGCGTTTTTCTTCTTTCCATAGCAAAACCAAGACGACGTGGTTAAACGTTTATCTCTGCAGACGATCGGTGTCTTACGGCACAAGGCGTTGCGACCCCCCAACGTCGTACCTTTCCCCTCCCCGGCTTCTATCATTTCAGACAAGGTCCTCTTCTCTTTCCCCTTCCTCTTCGGTTTCTCCTTTGTTCTCTGTGTCACAGCCTGGGAATGGGAAGGAGGGTCAGGACGCGTCGTGGATGGTACAGGAAGATGTTAATACGTTACAGGAAGAGGTGGGTAGATTGCAGGAGAGGGTTTGTATGTTGTGTGATTGTCCCTACACCATCTGGCGTGTGCACGTGGGGCTTCCAACGCACATCGCGCGGACCGCGGTTTGCCGCACCTTCGCCGCCCCCGACCGAGCTGCCTCCATCGCTTCCCACCTCTCCAAGCACCTCGACTTTGATTTCGACAGGGTGGATGCCGAGAGCTGGGAAAGGGAGCGTCGACGCCGATCCAGGCTCGGCTCCACACTGTTGCACCTCACCGAGAAGGGCGTCTTGCGCGAGGGGCTCCCGTTTACCGTCTGTGGCGCACGCGAAGGTAAAGAGGAGAGGATCATCAACGAGGGAGGTGAAAAGGCAGAAGAGAAGAGGGAGACGACCGTTGTGAGCGAGGGGTTCATGCGCTATGTACTCGTGGGGGATGGGTATGCGCGGGAGGAGGTGATCAATCGCGTCGCGCGTTTAATGCCTTATGCGAACGCGATGGAGTTGGAGGCGATTGAAATTTACATCTTATCCCCTCTCCACCTCGCAAGGCTCTATGAGGATGTTCAAATGGAGCGCACCGTCGCAGCTAGGTGGAAAGATGCCAAAAAAGAGTTAAAGGAAGAAGCTGATACTCCTAATAATATAGCTTCGCGAGAGGAATTGAAAAATTTGAAGGCCTCGCGACGTTTGTTTTTGGATGGCAAGGCTTTGGTGATGCTCAGCTGTATCGGGGAGCTTTTCCAATTTAAGCGTCGTGATCGCCCTCATAGTGTGGCAAACAAAGAGGCTGCAGAGACCCTTGTTTTGCATGTTTTAGTTTCGCACGCGATCGAAAATTTAATTTCGGAGCTTGTCCACGCCGTTCTACAGCGTATTGTACATGAAGGAACGCCCATTTGGCGTCAATTTCAAGCGAACACGGCTTCAAATGCCTTTAAAAGGAACTTATTTACGTCAAATCCATTATCCGCGACTCCGAAGCGGAAGCTGGAAACGGCCTCTCCAGACCTTTCTCACCCCCTCTCGAAGCATTATATATCTTCAGATATCTATGCTGAGCAGCTGATGGGTTTTTTTGTAGTTCGTGATGTTTGTGAAAATATAGACACCGTGAGTATGCAAAAAAAAGAAGAGAATAACGAAAAAAATCAGTGTCAAATACAGCCAAAATATATGCTTCCTAAGTACCAACTATCGTGGATCCCTTTGTTGCGAAGCTCCGTGTACGACAACATGATGCTTGATTCACCAAAGGATAATTTGAAGAATTTTCATTCCATTTCGAAGGGACCCACCAATAATAAAAAATAGGACATCTAAATTAATCATCTTTGACATATTAATGATTTGGTTTATGTGTGATATTTTTAGTATTGGAGGGTGGGAAAAGAGGAAAGGAAAGGAATGTGTTGTGTTCGCATTCCTTTTTTTAATCAAGCGATAGTAGATACCGTTTATATTACCATGAAAAAGGTCGATGTTCTTTTTCTTTTGCACGTACTACGGCTGACACGATATAAGGTATACCTATTGCGTTATTATTTTATCATGCATCACTTTATATGCATTTAAAACTGTTGTCAAGTTTTTTTTCATATTTTTTTTTTTATCGTATCTGAAACGATTATATTGGGGGATAGGAGGCTACAAAAAATATCAAATAGAAACTCATGAGTTCTTTTTCTTTTATTTCTTCAGAGGGGATCCTTGTAGGACTTCCCCCTCTCTCGGAATCGACTTTCCGTCGTTCGATTTTTCTCGAATCAGCGTTATCGGCTGGGTCGATGGAGGGAATGGTCCCGGTCGCCCGCGCGACGGCCTTGCGGTGGTACGTGGCCTATCTTGTTTATTGGGATTGGATGACACGTCTTTTTATGGAGCTGCATGAGGAGGAAAAAAAGATCAAAAAGTGCTCCACAAGCACATGCGAAAAGGAAAAAGAAAACAAAGGAAAAAGAGAAATAGAAAGTGAGAGTTGGGAGGGTCTTTTTAACGAGGATGTGTTGAGGAGCGGGAGTTTAATTGCGGAGGAGTCGTTGTCCTATCCGAATTCGCCCTTGGAAACAACACGGCGATTCGCCCTTCTTGTAGATTCTTTTACCACATCATCTACTGAGAGTATGGAAGGGGAGGTAGAAAAGCTTTTTGAGGACAACGAATCTCCAACGACGACGTTTAATACAGCGAGAGGTTTTAGCTATTCCAGACGTTGGCAACGTGAAGACGGAGCGGGTATTTTCCATAATCGTGTCAACGTGAATCATCCCTCCACTGTACCTTTTTCTTTTTCCAATTTTCCTTCCTTTTCTACCATGCTCGATGCGGAGGATATCTGCAATTCGCTAAACGCCCTTTTTCTCGAAAATGTGGTACTTCAACATGGAACCGAGACCGATTCAAGGCGTGTGGCATCTTACTTTCCACTTCACGAGTGTGAGTATAATGTTAATATTCCAACATTTTCTTTATCGGCCGTTCAGCAGGAACGTCTTCTGCAGCTTCTCACCACGGCAGATTACTTAGGAGACGCTTTTCTTACGCAGAGCTGCGCACGGTATTTTATCTCGTGGTTAATGCAAGTGCCCGAGCGGGATCTTCTCGCGTCCTTTATCCCAACCAACAGTGAAATCTCGAAAACGACCGCTTTCGAAGAAAAGGCTGTCGGTATCAATCAAGAAAACAAAAAAGAAGGGTCTAAAGCACCCTACCACGCCGTAGATAAAGTGAAATGGTGTGTACCGTCGTCTACCTCTTTACAGAGCTCGTGGTTGCCCTTGCCGTCTTCTTTTTCCTCAACATCAGTGAGTAATTCTTCTTTAGAGGGGGTTTCTTTGCGGAAAAAATCCAGTGAAGGGGAGGGAGAGGGGTGTGTTCATCCTGAAAAAATGTGCGAATCAAACCTCTCAACGCCCTCCATGAGTGATAGTGATGAACTTTGTTTATCCGCAGACCAACGGCTTGTTTTGCTGGCTGAAGTAAAGCGAACGAATGCGACGTTTGTTGAACCGTACTGGTGAGATACTCACCTATTTTCTTTGAGGGTGGAAAAAACACACAGGAGCAGAGGAATGAACGCGCGTACTTTTTCGATTTTACTTGCAGTTTCTTAAAATGTGGAGGCGTACAGGACGAAAAATAAGATTTAAAGAAAACAGGAAGACTTATTTTTACAGATTATACTTCTGTTCTTCTTGTATCATTTAAAATACTTTTGTCTAAGTGTTTATCTTCTGCACTGACACTCTTTTGAGTATAAAAAGGAAGGGTTGAAATAGATTTCATTTGTGTTTTACTTTCCGAAGCATGGGTTTCATGCGATACTTATGATATTGTATCAGTAGTTATCCTTGCATCCATCTTTGCTTTTTATTACTTTTGCTTAAGCCGATGAAAAGGTTATGCGGAGCTTTCCATGGACATAAAAGGATAATTGTCACCTGTGGTATATCTCTCTGATCCAGGACGAATATATAGTTTCAAATATGATGCATAGTGGGTTTCACTGTCTGTGAACTTGTTAGTTTTTTTAAAGTTCCCTAAATTTCCTTTTTCTGTAGCCTACGGGTAACTTTCAGCTTCGCTAAATTGAGAATTATAAGATAGTGATTGCAATAGTATATGGCTTGCAAGAAATATCTAAGGGAATAAGCAATCCTATTCAGCTCATTATCTACTTAAAGAGAAGGGAGGGGTAGATAATAAGTATTTAGATTTCGTGCTGATGAATTTATTTACTTTTATCGAGTGAAAGGGTCGTATGCGTATGTGTTTGTGTGTGTATGGGGTGGGTGGGGTGCATCTGGAGATAGCTAAAGGTTGTCCATGACATTCTGCCTAAGTGTATCTGAAGGAAAATAATAGGATTTATCCAGCAAAAAATGTGTGATCAATAAGGATAGATAGTGTTTCGTTTCTCTTAGAAATCAAAAAAAGAAAAGTGTTCTGATGTGTGTATGAGTATGTGCATTGTTGAGTGTGAGAATTTTAACAAATACAAATCCCTTTTATCTACATACTTCTGCTGACGTTATATAAAGGCAAGGAAAGAGAATCCTGGCCTTCTGAAATTTTACTAATAAGCAGAAGGGGGAGGTTTGTTTCAAATCCATCTTTTGTGCTTTTATTCTGCAGCATAATTTAACTTTGACGTTGCTAACTTGTTTTGATTCGCTTGAAGCCTCGTTAGAGTGGTTGCGGTGCCTTAAATGCTATTCATTTAGTGTTTTTATCGATGGCTCGACAACGTAGTATCGCAGGCAAGAATTGGTTCTTGAGCGATCTTAAATTTATAATTAGTTAGTTCACTTTGAAATGTTTTCCCATTTTTTGATAGGATTATCTTTTAATATCAAGAAAAAGTCGTACGAGGGTTGCGTATGGGTACTAGTAGTTCGTCTCTTTTCACTTTTCACATTGTGAAAAGCGTTCCTGTGTACGCAATTCAAGGACAACTAATTGAAATTGCCAATGTTTTTTTTGAATTGAACAAAAAACTAATTAAGCTACAAATAACTTTCCATCACCGTCTAATTGACACGGAACTCTATTCCACTTTTTTTTCCCCTTAGTAAGGCGCAAGTTTACCCGTCCACGAGCAAACCAGCGTCCATTTAGAGTAACTTCAAGGAAGTCTTAAATGCCAACCTCCCGACGCCCCCCATTAGTATTCCTCAATTAACGCTTTCGTGTTCAGCGAGGAGCTTTGTGCCATCACACCCAACCCCCTATTATTCCTTAGGAACCCCCCACTTCGAGGCTGTGAAGCACAGCAAGGCCCGGTGTCTCCCCTTCCACGCGCCAGCCCCATGTCCTCGAAGAAGTCCTCCTTACCAGTGAAGCCCCCCCCCTCCTCCCCCTCCTCCTCCTCTCTTCCCTTTGCCGTGTGCGGGCAAAAGATGATCTTCGGCCCTATGGTCGGCAAGCCAAGGCCGGGGCTGAACTCCAGACCGGACCTCCGCAGCCCCCTTGGCCCGGTGCCCAAAGGGGAGGAGGGAGGCCCCCCACCCCTTCCGTTGCGGAACCTTCCACAGGCCAGGAAGACGTCCCGGTTGACGACGGGCCGTGTCGGGCTCCTCCTGCGGGACGCACGCGCAGCCGTTGAGGCCCCGCCGCCCCTCCGCCCCGACACCCCGAGCGAGCTGCTCACGCGGCGGCCGGTGGTGCGGCGGGGAGGGGGGGGGCCGCCTGCCCGCCCTTCCCCCCCTGCACGAGCCCGGGTCTACTCCCCTTCCCCCGCGCTTTCATC